TCCATCCTGGACTGAATCTGAGGAGATATTTCTTCAGCAAAGGGTGATTGTGACTTACATACACTTGAACTTTCCAGTTCATCACAAATGTCTGTCTAACTCTGACTTGGATCTGTATTAGATTTTGCCATGACTTGTGTTGGATTAATTGCTACTCGATCCTTAAGATTCTTTTGATTCTTCCAGCTTTCTTAGTTTCTTTCTGAACCTCTGAAAGTAAAGCATGATCAACAAATGGGAAACCTAATCTTTCCACTGTCAAACATTTTGATCAAATGTATGCGAGAACCAGCTATTTTCACTACACTTCCTGGTAGGCATTTCAAACACTGGTGATCATGGGAACTCATGAATAGCAAATAGTGAAGAAAAATGTTTAAAGTTTTGCTAGTTATTGTTTGATATATCATAAAACCTTCAACCAATGTGAATGGCGATCTATCATGTTACATATCTGTTGCATGCAAAATCTATCTACAACATCTGCTAGATTATAGCTAACCGTTTCCTTGATTGCAAAGGTACTGACTCCCTTTTATGCTGCTTGATCTATAGTACTCTGTTTCACTAAGTTTTTTTTAAATTTCCTTATCCTGGCTGCCAAAGATAGCTCCTTGCTAGAGTCTTTGTCAAACACATTGCTATATGTTGAGCATGACGATCACATAGCTACTGCAATCTGCACTTTTCAAGGATCACAACTTTGGCTTTCTACCTGATATAGCCTTCATTAGCTAACAACTTATGCTTACACACAAAAAATTGCCTGATTTGTAAACACAGTACCTGTCTTGGGCATACAGTGAAAGATAATCATATACCTTTGCCAATAAAGTGAACCTCTTGTTGTGTTACGTATGACGATTAATATGTCTGAATACCTTTACAAGACGTGTTTGTGATATTACTATTGTATTGTAGCACATGACCTGAAGATGTGAAGGTCTTAGTCTAAATCCTAACTGGGCCACTTGAAGCATGGCATGCTGATGGAAGCATGCTACTGTTTGTCGTAAATAGTTCAATGCTAGCCCAGACATGGAAGTGCCTGTGAATGTAATATATTAGTGATCTGTAATAAATATCTGTTCAATCTTTAAATACCACACACTCACTTGGTTTCTTAGGTCAAAAGAGATAATATAAACATTGCCATATCTGGTAAAGATACCCTATTGGAGAAAAAAAAGTGCTACATATACAAATTGTAATTTAGGTTATCTGGTTGGTATGGACGAGTTGAACCGAAGGACCTGTTTCTGTGCTATAAAACTCTGACTCTACTAAAGTTATCTGCTGCTGTGTAAATATAAATGCTAAAATAAAACACCTCTTCCTCTTTGACCTCAATCTCTGATGGGGATGGTAATCTGGACATTGTAATCTAGAAATTATTCTGATCTTCCAAAAAGTCTTTATTTATAATTGCGCTGGTTAGTAGATATAATTAAAGCCTATTTCTCCATTAAAAGCACAACCAAAGTGGGTACTAGGAGACTTTCGAATAAATTCAGTAGCTTATGATCAGTTTTGATCATGAATCACAACCTTGTTGTATTTATGAAATGTTCTTACTTCAAAAAATGAAATGTGTCATGTTCCACCTGAGCACAGTTTTGCACACTGGCACTGAGGGAGTGAGAGGCAAATGTAAGTTTCTCTCTCAACGCTATCCAACATGTGAGAGATCACTGCACTTACTCTATATAGAAAAGTATCACTTGGCAGTTTTGGACACATCACAGTGTATAAGCATTGCACCTCCTCCATAAGTAGACTTTTATACAATCTGAAAGCCATCGCATGCTCCTACTTCCAATTCTATAGAACTCTTCTTCAATCCCACAATTACTGCTATCTAAAAGGACAAATGCAGCAGACACATGAGAATGCCACCAGTTGCAATTTCCCTCTTAAGCCACACAAAACCAGACTTGGAAATATATTGCCATTCCTTCACTATCACTAGGTCAAAATCCTAGAATTCCCTCCCTTAAGACACTGTGGATCCACCCTGTTCAAATGGACAGCTACGTTTCAAGAAGGCAGCTCACCACCATCTTCTCAAGGACAACCAAGGACAGGCAATAAATTGCAGCCCAGCTAGCAATGGCCGTGTCCCATTAAAGAACAAAAAAAGATAATTCAGCAGATGCAATACATTTGTCAGATCTGGTGTGAATTTATCTTAGTAATTCACTGGGACAAAAAAAAGATCTGAGCTCAGAAAAATTCCGACTGACTGATGTGTTTTTCATTGCTTGAACATTTTTGTCCCTTTAGCTGACTTATAGGCTTTTCCAAGTTTTAGAGCATCTCTTTCAGTCTGTTATCATGGATTTGCCTGCTTGCAGCTGAAATAAATATGTCATATAATGAATGCTTCTGGGCATTGTATAGGTTGATATGGTGTAGGTGGGTATGGTAGTAGGTGAGTGTGCTGCAGGTGGGTATGCTGGTAGGTGGGTATGGTAGTAGGTGAGTGTGCTGGCAGGTGGGTATGCTGGTTGGTCGGTATGATGGTAGGTGGATATGGTGGTAGGTGGGTACGGTTTAGGTGGGTATGGTAGTAGGTGGGTGTGCTGGCAGGTGGGTATGCTGCTAGGTGGGTATGATGGTAGGTGGGTATGATGGTAGGTGGGTATGGTAGTAGGTGGGTATGGTGGAGGTGGGTATGGTGGAGGCAAGTATACTGTAAGACAGTAGTGGAAGGTGGGTAGGACAGCAGATGAGTGAGTGCATATACAAATTAGTAGGTGGCCGTGCCAGGTCAGAAGAGAGTTGGGGGTGTTTGATGTATCAGTAGTGGGAATAGAGTAGTGGGGTTTGGTCGAAACGAATTGGGGTGCTCTGAGGTAGTTGGAAGATTGAGGAAAGGGGTCTGCAAGGGGTGATTTAGAATATCAGTTGTTCAGTTACCTAGGCACTAGTCTAGGCTTTGTCCCTCTCTAACATTCCCTGAACAAAACCGTGCAAAGTCTCCAAATCTAACTCAGAGCAAACAGTCCAGGGATCAGCAGAATTGCCCACGTGCAGTTCAGACACCAGGAAATTCCCTCAGAGCGCTTGCATCGGAATTTCCACAGAGTGTCAATACACATCTTCCAGAATATGCCTAGACTCCAAATATCCAGAGATCCGATGATCTGAGCCAATATTGTCCAATCTTTTCAGTTCTTTTTTGACCTTCTCCCTTAAAACACGTTATTATTGTGGCCTGCAATGACTTGGCCTTGCGTTCATATGAACACGTATGTTAGCCATGTACCTGTGAACCAGCTCGCTGGCTTCACTAATCACTTGAGATTCACTCTTGACTACAATTTAACTTAAATGCTGCCAACCACATTTTGCCCCAAAAGGTTGTTTTCTTACCTTTCACAACAATTTTGTACATTGGTTTTTGTTTGTGACTGCATCTCTGGGCACTCTTGTGGCACAGTGGTAATGTCCTTACCTCAATGCTAGGAGCCCTGGGTTCATAATCCCACCCACTCCATAGTGATATAAAAATAACGCTGAACAGGTTGGTCAGGAAAATATCTGTGACTGAAGCCTACACACTTCCCATTGTGGGGATTTTTCCTTCCCCAGAATTGCATAACCCCATTCATATTTTCACAGACGATAGTTTTCAGCTTTTCATGATGCATTGATTTATGAATTAGTGAAATAAAATCAAAATACTGCAGATGAGGAAATCTGAACTGAAAAGTGAGATTGCTGGAGAAACTCAGCGGATCTGGCAGTACCTGCGGAGATAAAAACAGAGTTAATGTTTCATTAATTTCTTCATTTCTTCGAATAGTTAACTCTGTTTCTCTCTCCATAGATACTGTCAGACCTGCGGAGGTTCTCTAGCATTTTCTCCTTCTTGTTCAGAAATAGCACGACCTGACAGCTATGTGAGTCTCCATGCCTTCTGTGCCAATGCTACTTGGGCAATATGCCCTGTGAATTTCCACTGGATATCTTTGTACTTTTGTTCATATGGTCTTTAACTTAACCCCCATCCCGCCATCAGCTGGGTTGCTGTTCAACAGTATGCAACAGAGGACATTTCCCTGTTGCCAATATTCTCACCTTTGACCTTCTTGGGACTTGAACTTGACCTTCTCGCCCCGAGGTACGGATACTACTTCAGTGCCGCAAGACCCCATGCAGTCTCTGACAATAACCTTTTCAGAAGCATTCTCAAAATACAGCGGTAACCATCAGTGATAAGAAGCAGTGAGGGCACTGTCTGGTCAATATTTATCTCTTAAGCGACATCATTTAAACAAGAATCTGTCTGTTATCAGATAGCTGTGAGATCTTGGTGTCCACCCGCTGGCTACCGCAATACATGCATTACAAGTGTGATTATGACCACTGACTATAAAAAAAATAGCTTTGGGGCTCCAATAAGTTTTTTGGAAGGAGAAGTCCGATTTGTTAGTGGAGAGTTTTACTGTTCACCTGTATGCTTTTCGGGATGTTGTTGACGGTGACTATTTATTAATTTTTTTAAAAAATTGAAATCGTTTTAAAAGTATTATTATTTTAAGGTACGTTATCCAGCAATTGACATTTTTTTAAAAAAATGCTTTTTTTGAGCGCAGCTCACTTGAAACAGCACAGCTCCTTGTAGTTTGGTTTGGATTAAAATTTTACTCAAGAGCACATCGTCATTGAGCCAGTGATAAATAATGCAGCATATTATCAGATCTGTAGTGCAACCTAAATTGTACATTGACGAACACTGCATATCTTTCCTGCAACAATTTATTTTTTTGTACAGACTAAAACCAAACGATACAAAAAAAAATGCTGCTTCAAGGCTGACAGGTAAAAGTTGAAATGTAGTTCATTTCTTATCCCCTCTGTTCATTGGTGTGTGCATTGTCCAGGCTTTTTATATTTGTATGTGTGTTCCAGTTTGCTACATTGAGATAAGGACAGAGGTTCTTAAGCAAACCCCCTTTAGAGAGCTGGGGATGGTGTGATCCAGGAAGCGGAGTAGTGCTGAATAAATCAGGTGACACGCTCCATCTCCCTGTTTAGATGGAACGAGCCTTGGAAGCTGGCTGCACAGATACAGCGGGCGAAGCTTGAGCGTACAGTCCGGGAGTGGAGCCGCTGGGGAAAGAGAAGCTGGCAACCGTAAGGGAACCTTTGCTTTTGGCAGCCGTGGAGAGGAGGAAGGAACAACACCGGCCATGGCTTCAAATTTTAACGATATAGTGAAACAGGGATACGTGAAAATCCGCAGCAGAAAGCTTGGGGTAAGTAGAGAGACAATGTGTTAACAACAGCTGGATGAAACAAAATCCGGAATGGTACTGGGGGCTACAGTCCTTGGGGGCTCTGCGTGGCTCCAGAGTGGGCTTTTGGACACAACATTTGTAGAAACTGTTGCTAAAACTGAACATTTAAAAAAAAATCAGCTACAGGGTTGTGTTCTCCACAACAAAAATAAAATCAGCAGGTCAAATACAACTTCGCGTCAATCGCTCTGCTTTCTCGTTCTCTTATAGCCTCAGTGCTTATTCCCATTGAGTGCAGAGTTCGTGAAGCAGGGAATTGTGCTCTGGTTTTGTTCTATCCAGAAATTATGATTATGATATGATATGATATGATATGATGCTTCTCGTGCCGTACAGAAGAGCAAAGTTTAGGCTAACATAAACCGCAGGTTTTAAAACCGATTTTATTTCCAAACCTGTGGTGCTTTCAGGTGGAATGAGCCTGCAAACCAGTTCGAAGACTGTTTCTGCAAGACAGCTGTGATTCCGCCTCCTTCTATGATATTTGTTGTTAATCTTTAACAAAAACTTAAATATTGATTATTAATTTTGATCACACTTTGCTCCATAGCTCATCTTCTGCTATGAGATAATGCATGACTTATTTCATGGTGTATCTGTAGTGTATTGTAACTGATGAAAGTTGTTTACGATGTAAGAATGTTTTACTAATAGTAGTGCAATGGCTACTTTAATGCTGCTTTTTTTCAGAAATATGCTTTTGTTGGAAGCTGTTAGCCACATTCACAGTAGATCCAGTTATGTACTGCCATCCTGAATCCGTCGCATTGGGATGCTGTGTTTTATTGTTTATGGCTTTTTTGTGAAGGCATTGTATCAGGGTCAAAATAGAGGACTATTGTGTGTGTGAATGTAAGTGTAGCAGTAGGACAACAAGGAACACTTGTGTATTATACCAGGATGTAAGTGTCAAAGTGTATGATTTTGAGTACAGGAGCTACCAGAACTTATAACAAGAACATGCAGTGAAAGGCGCATCAATGGTTTGACAAGGAATGCAGTTTAGAGAAGTCTAACCATTTGTTCCTTACCAAGAAACTTTTCATATTTCTATTTAAATGAAAACAACCACTTTTTTACAGCAGACTCCTATTTCATGAAGGCCATTTGCAGTTTTGTACCAACTGTCTAAGCCCGTTTGCTCCAGGACGATTGGTATCACAAATAACTTTTTCTGGTTCAACGTTTGCTAGAGCTGCAGCAACAACTTTTTATTGAATATTCTTGATGGATAAAATCAGGAGATGTGTTTTTCCCCCAAAGCTTTATTAGTTTGGCCCGAATTTTTCTGATAGTTGTGGACCTGCAGCTCAAGTAATGTGTTTTCAATCTTTGATAAAGATTTGTGTGAACTGTGTAATGTTGCTCGACAGACATTTGCACACGTTCATTTATCTAGCTTGTAGTGACTTTCGGCTGCGTTTTGCCATGCAGATCAATGACTTGTGACATCTGGATGACTTTAATTTGCAGGAAATTTCTGAGAAGAAATGTGAAAGTGCCACCTTGGGCAGCTTACAACCGTGTGAAGCACAGGCTCCTGAAATGAGAAACATAAAAAAAAAATCACTGGCATTTTGTTCAGTGTTACATGATAAGAGATTTACCATGGAGACAAAAGTTTTTAAATCGATACACTCAGAGCTTCGATATCACCATCCTGATGAGATACCAGAAATTTTTCTTGGTGTGGGAGGCATTAATGGGTTATGTAAATGCCCATCAGGCCGACATTCAAGAGCAGTTTTTTGTTTAAAACGTATTTGGAGATTTGTGCTTCTCAAAACTGTGCATGTTAAAGCTGAATGATTGTAGTAGGCAAATTGTAACCTTCAGCCGGTGCATGATAACATGCAACAATTTTAACTATTGCACAGTTATATCTATTAATGTGTATACTGGTTTTAGTTCACATTTGTTTTGATCTCAATATTTATAAATGAAATTAGTTATGAGGTTTCATTTTTTTTTAAAGAAATACCATTAGCCATGTGAGAGTTTGAGCTGTGATGTGATCATAATTTCAGTCTTGGTGCATTACTGATCAAAATGAGAACATCTAAAATGGCAGTAGCTACTCTGCAGTTTTTCTAAGTATTTCAACTCAAAAGCATAGTCAAAGTTGATAACATCAGGTGGCTGAAATGATATTAGTGGGCTTTGTATAACTGTTGCCGTCCAGGCTTATATGTGACTAGGAGCATGAGGTATGAATCAGTGATGATCACCATGTTGAGATTAGCCTACTTAATGGCATAAATTTTTTGAGATTTTCTTAGCTGCTTTTTTTTTTTTGCTTATTTAATTGAATCCCCAGACATTATGGAGTGTCCTTTTCTAAAAAAAAATTGCTATTTATAATGTAAATGCATTGGATGGCATGCAGGACCATTTTATAAATTATAGACAGTTTTGTTCATTTAATTTTGGGATCAGACAGGTTTCAATGAGTTTATTTGGAAAGCTAATGAAGCAAATAGGGCAAGAGGCCCCAAGTTCAGATCTAGTTAATGTTGAGCTAGTTGTCTTCATATCAGTAAGTACATTGGAATTGGCCTCCATGCCCAGGCCTTGTACTCCTGATTGCTACCCAGGAACTGATATTGAACGTGTATGCATGAGAATGACAGGGAAGTGCCAAGGTTTGGGCTTGGCAGTGACGCCTTCCCCAGTCAAATAGCTTGGTAGTCCCTGTTGGCACTCCCATGTAAATGCTGGCCACTTGTTTGAGGCACTTGATCGTCCGCAGAACTTCAGCCCAGTTTGGGAGTCATGTTTACAACAAAGATGCTGAAAGAATAGAACATTTCATTCTTCTGTAAGTGATGACCAGTGATAAAGTATTGAAAGGAAATTTTCCATATTCCTGATCACAGATTTTCCAAGCATGTCTCTGTTTGCCTAAAACCATACAGCAGTGTTTATTTACTCCTGAAATCTAAGGAGACCAAATCTCTGTTAAAAGGCAGTTTTTCATTTGACAGAATGGGGCTACTCTTCTGCTCAGAGTCCAGTCTGTTGAAAGATTCATTTTCTGTTGAACCCAGCCAGAGTTTTATTTTTGGCATTGTTTTAAACGTAGAGCCAATCCACACTAATCCCTCTTGAGAGGCTTTCTGTTTTTAAAAAATGTATTTTAGTTAATAGTTGCCTTAGTGCACTCCAAATCCTAGTCCTTTCTCGAGTTTTGTCCTATCTAGGTGTTGGTTGTCCTCATTAACAGCAACTACTTACCTGTGAATCAGTTGATCTCTGCAGTCTGTCAGTAGTTGTACATTGAGAGAGTCAATGCTGCTTCTCTTCCCTTTGCTATGATTCTGGGAGAGTATTCTGACAAAACAAAAGGATGATGAGTCAACATACCTGCTATGAGATAGGATGGGGCGACTGCATCCTGTTGGGAATGCACCCTTGATTCCTTTGACCTGCCTGTCTTGAAGAGCATTACTCTTCCTTTGATTTTATTTGCTTGTGGAAATGTTTTATTGTTGCACGTCAGCACAATTAAATTGCACATTATTCCTTTAATAAGTCCAATTCACTTTGCTGTCGAATAGCAGGATGGGTGTTTTAAGGTTGTGCTTTCCTGCACAGTTTGCAGTTTCAACTGTGCCAATGCAGCAAGGTGCTGGAGGATGCCAGCTGCTACCCCACAGGGAGGGAGGGAAAGTTGGAGGATCACTCATCCAACCAACCTTGTGGCAGCATGTACTGCCACAGTCTGAATACATGGCTCTCAGTTGTTACCTCAAGAGGGTGTAGGAATGAGGTAGTCTCGGTAACCACTTTTTTGAAACTTCAACCCGCCCCACGTTTGAAAAATTTTATAAAACCAACTACTTGTCAATGGAAGCAACATTGATTTTAATTTTTTTTCAACTGTTGTAGAATATCATATGCAACCAGATTGAGTGGGGCAGAACTTTGAAAATTGTTGTCTTTCAAGGACATGGACAGAAATTAAATACCAAGTGTTTATGATCCCAATGTTGACTGAAAATCAGTTTTCCAGTTTATAGCTGAGAGCATAACAGATAAGATTTTACATTTTAAGCTATTTATTGTATCAAACAAACTAAACGTGCTAAAAACCGAAAGAACTACGGATGCTGTAAATCGGGAACAAAAACAAAGTTGCTGGAAAAGCTCAGCAGGTCTGGCAGCATCTTTGAAGAAAAAAACAGAGTTAACGTTTTGGGTCCGGTGACCCTTCCTCAGAACCCTGCTGAGCTTTACCAGCAACTTTGTTTTTGAAACTAAACACGCTATTGACTAAATACTTTTTGGTGGCAGCTTCTTTATGTTACAGATCAAAACTTTTAACACAACTGAAAAAAACTCAGTATCAGGTACGTGTTATAGTTTCCTTTTTAAGTGGACATTAAGTTCTCCTGGAATCAATAATTCTTGACTCCTAAGGACTTAAGTTTCACAGTGAACGTTTTTCTCAGGACATTCTCCCTTAGCACAAACTAAGAGAATTGTCCCACCTCACTTTTAACTCTGCATGACTTTAGTATTTTTGATCCAAGTAAAAACTTCCTCACACTAACGTGTGGTGAATTGCAGCCTATAGGTGCTTTTCTCCCCGATGCTGACAGATTAACTCTGTCTTTAGGGATATTTTAGAACTCCAACCCATGTGAAATCCCTGAGAGGCTGAGAGCCCAACTCTCTCATTCCCTTGGAAGTAAACAGTCAGTTTAAAACAGTTTACAATTTTTAACACCTTTACTTGAGCTAAGGAGACTTGTAGTCTATCCACTGTTGGCACACTTGCTGCTGCCATTGTCTCCAACTGTAAATAACTTGCACCTTTTTCTTGTCAGAAGACCCTGAACCCTCTTCAGTCTCTTAAATATCACACCATGGAGGCAGACTGCAGATCAACATGACCCCCTTCATTTTACAATAACTTAAAGAGACAATCCAAAGACGTGACAATCTAACCTCATCAT